CCCCAAAACCCCAAAACCCCAAAACCCCAAAACCCCAGATAGATAAATGAGTGTACAAGTGTAGATAAATGCGAAAATGTTATTTCAAACAGGGGTTTATAAGTACAGAATTTGATTAGATGATCACTTGAACCCTTACCTTGATACTTCAAAATATTAACATAAAATAGGGCTCGAACCTATTCCAGCTCAAGTCCGAGAATAGAGTGGGGGTTGTTGGGCCGAAGTTGACTTTCAAAAAATTAAGCAGCACTGCTGGCATGACCTATTTTCGTTTTAAATAGGATGACTTTGTTTTCTACCATTATCATCGTGATTTGATGATGGTGGTAATTCTCCAGACTATTGATAAATGTTATTGCTGATGTTTTGATCCTAGTTGGCATTAGTTTGGCCTAGGATAATTGACTACTTCTTGGGATCTTTGAGGTTCTAATTGTTATAGCTAGTGGTCATCGATATTGGTGAGCTTATAATAGCTGCTTATTCAGCACATAAGGCGAATCTGTGGTAATTAATCTTAGAAACAATCTAGGATTTTTCGATGTCTATAGAATTTAATTAATCTCTGATTGGAATATTATAAACATACTAGGAAAATCATCATTAGGTTTTCCTGTTTTCTTAGCCATATAGAGGAAGTAGTAATCCAAGTTTCTGTCTTCAAGAATGTGCTGAGCTTATCTTTCCTTTAGATGCTCATTGAACCAATCAATAGCCCTTATTATCAAGTCTGCGCAGTTTAAATGCTGCTGAATCTCGATCTAAGATTAAATTAAAACCATGTTTTATTTTTAGAGGGTGAAAATATAAGTTCAATCATATGAAACTGATCAAATTAAGTACTTACATCAATATAAACCTGGTCCTCTCCATTATAATTCACTGGGTGATCAGTCAAACTTTCAGTCTAATTCAGGTGTTAGGTTTAGGGATTGTTATTTGAATTTGTGTGCTGAAAAAGTTTCTTTAGGTGCTCATTATTTGAATCTTTGATCACTTTTAAGAAGACTCTGATAGTTATGAAATTGTCAACCATAGATGCTTGTCCTCGAAGATTGGGTTGATACCTAGACTGAGTAATCTAGCTTTGGTCTTCCAAGCGATTGTCATTGTTAGAGGGAGATGGGAAATGCAGCATTGCCGCTCCAGAATTCTAATTTCCACTTCCTTCTTGATCCATTAAATCTCTACTCTATATTATTAATAAAGCCTTTTATTTAATAACTCTATATATTCACTCTTGAAATTTATGATGCTAATCTATCGGGGTTTTGGGGTTTTGGGGTTTTGGGGTTTTGGGG